CGTGGCAGCAGTCTGTCAAGATGCCGGTCTGCCCTGCTGCTGCTGGAGCAATGCCCAACCGGCGCCCCGACCAAGGCCTCCCGGAGGTCAAAAAGGAGGGCTGGGCTGATGGGCCACCCACGATCCTGGGTACGGAAATCCAGGGAACCCGTATTCTTCGGCCTCGTTTGACGTTCGTCCTTGTCCCCCCGCTCACCTCACTTTTTCCAACCACTGTTTGCAAGTTCACGTCGCTGATGCCTTGGTGGTCGTGCTGGACCGTTTATTCCTCCTGTGTCACTGTTTATTCCTCCTACTCCGTGTCTGTCACTGTTTCACGTGATGGGTCAAACTCAAACTCAAACTGGACAGAATCTTCGGTTTGTCAAACTGTCCTGACACACAGAGATACGTACACGAGCTCCTACGTACTCCGCCTCGTACGCACTGTGCAAGTGTGCATGCTTTACGTTTGGGAGCGTGCAAATACTCTACTTTGATTCCTAGAAAGAAAAATAACACAACGCTCAAGTGCAAACTCATATTCCCTCCGTTCCAAATTAGTACACGGTTAACCTACACGATCGCTTGGTCTAGTTACGCCCTGAGTAAACGCTGCGCATTGACCCGTTGCATCCGTTTAATCGGCCGTTTATCCAGTCTACTCATGACTATTTGGTCCGAATAAATAGCAAATATAAGATATGCATGTATTTCAAGATTTAAACTTGGTTATTTTTTACTAACAATTAGCCTAATTGTATAAAAAGTTTGTATTACAAAAGTAGTTACATTAGATTTCCATTTAGAAATACTTTCTAATAATCAAACTTTTGTTACTATAAATTATATATTATAAATAGGTCAAATATGCTTTTTATCTTTGTTGTTAAAGTATCACCCAAAGGAAAAAAAATCCTACTTGGTTGATGATAATACTTTACCACATCATAAGTAACACATATCATAGTTTTTAGACATGACAAGTACAGCGCCAATGTTATATAGTTTTTTTTCATGCCAAACTTTAACGTAGCATGAGTGTGGCGTTTGATTTGTTTCCAGTACTTTTTGTACACCTAATTATATTTGTAGTAAAGTTAGACACCAATCAAATTACTCCCTCCTTTCCATATTAGCTGATGTTTTAGAAACTCTCATGATAAACAATGCTGAGCCAAAAGACCAAAATACCTCTCTCAAGGAGTATAGAGATGGAGATGTATTGGAAAAAGATAAAATGTATTGGGAAAAGAAAAAAAACGTTGAGAAGATCAATTATTTTGTGAACAAATTTGAATGTTATAAGATCATCTATTTTAGGACGGAGGGAGTAGACCAAATAATTGACGTGTTGGGACCGCTTAAAATCGGACTTGTAAGGGCTTGTTTGGTTGCGCCCCAGATAGCCTTGTCAGGCGCTGGCGCGCTGCGCTCGCTCGCAGTTGTCCGATTTCAGACGCCTAGGGTGAAGATTGCTACCTAGTCGCTATGCTACTTGGAAGGCTACAAACCAAACACACCTTCAATGCTTGTTCTAGGCACCGCATATTGAAATCAATGAAAAACAAGAATCTCCACCCATTGGACTTATGATGAACCCTTTGGGACAATAGAATATCGTCGAGGAGGAGGACAAACTAGGATTGCTTACCAACGAGAAAGATTCAATTTGGGATCTAGTCTAATTCAGCCTCCTCACCGTGGATCCAGGCATTAGTCGTGCGATGAATCTAGCGGAGAGAGGGTCACTGGAGGCGGGCATGGGTGATGGATATGGGGAGCGTCAAGCGGGGAGGAGGATCACTAGCGTTGGTATACGAGGCTAGTGCACCGGCATCAGTGGAGGAGGTGGCCACTCATCATCGGGTAGGCGTGATTCGGGCTGAGACAAGGAGGAATTGCGTGGAGACAAGATGGCGGTTATATAGACATCGACCGTTGTCTCGGTCTAACCACTTTGAGTGTGGGTTTGATTATTGATAGAACCAGAAGGACTCATTTGGATTCAGATTTTTTGGTTGGATTTTGGACTAACTAGGGTTTTAGATAAAGTAGACCTTTTTGTTTAACTAAGGTTTAACAAAAGGATTTGCTTTTTCTCACTTTGCTAGCTATTTGAATGTGGTTTTCCTACTTCGCTATTGAAAGGATCAAGATGCCCAAGACGGTGGGTGAATTAGGCTAATCTAAATATTTTCGCAACAAATAAAGCTTATCGCTTAGCCCATTTCACCCCTAGTGCCTAAAGTGTTTTCTATCCTACGCACAAAGTTTTGCACCCTAGGTTCCAACCCTATTCTATCATGGCAATTTTAGGAATGTAAAAACATAAATATAAATTGCATTAAAGTAAAGGAGAAGGGTTAGGAACATGACGATATTTTTCGGGGGTATTGGAGAATCAACACTCCCCACTAGTCCTTGTTGGAGCTCCTGTGCAAGGGGGTGTCGGTCCCCCTTGATCCACGTAAGGATCAAGTGCTCTCTACGGGTTGATTCTTCACCATTATAGCATGATGAATCACTCACAACCGTTTACACCATGAGTTAGGCCTCTCACAATCACCACCAAGAGATCACCAAGCTCCTAATGGTCACCAAGCCGTCTAGGTGATGCTGATCACCAAGAGTAATAAGCACAAACTCTCACTTGACCCAAACAAGCCTAATGAGGAAGATGGATGCACAGTTGCTACTCCCTATGCACTAACGAGGTCCTTAATCTTGCGATTATCAAATCTCAATCACCCACTAAGCATGAACTCCCCTTGGTCTCCAATGTATGCTATTAGCTGAAACAAATGGCAAGAGAGATTCTTTGGACGAGTTGGATGGGTATAAATACCCTCCTAACCACTAAACTAGCCGTTATAAATGCACTGCATTGAATGGAGGATCACCGGACTGTCCGATGTCTTGCATCAGACCAATGCTCATGGTCTCTCTGAGTGCCATCAGACCAGGAGCCAATGGTTCGATGCACCTTTGTAGCTCGGTCCAATGCCTTGCAGACCAAACCCTTGGTGTACAATCCCTACAACACATGGTCCGATGGACCCTTGGGCTAGGGTCAAATGCCTTCAAACCCTAGCTGCGCTTTGCCAGCATGCAACGGACCACAACCTTTGGTCCAATGGCTCCTTGAGCTAGGGTTCATTTCCCCATTTGACCCTCCATTCACTTATAATTCCAACTTATTTGTGAATGGGGTTAATTTCAAACGATCTTTGGGCCTTCTCAAAGCTACCTCGTGCTAAGTTTGACAAGTGTGCACCACACCTAAATCATTAGACTTACCTAGTTAGGTCAAGATACTAGTTCATATCTCCCTTTATAGTATGGCCAAAGGAAAAACATTGTCCTAAACTACCCTAAGTGTCTTCCAACTCCAATTGACACTTAGAACTAGTCTGTCCTTAACCTTGTCATCCATCCTTTGAAAACTCAAACAAATTCCATCAATAGAGGCATGAAAACCATCGATTGCCCAAACAATCACCATATTGTGAACTAACTCACATTGCCTTTACAAAACACACGTTAGTCACAAAGATCTTGTGTAGTCATTAATCACCAAAAGCCTAACTCGGGGCCAAGATGCTTTCAGCTATCTAAGGCGAGAAAGGATGGGCTACCATTTGTGCACATGCATAATAGATACTATCCATAGGCTGAACATGGAGTACTAGGGGCAGTAACGGTGCTGTCCATAGGCTGAACACGCAATACATAGAGCTACAATAGTCTCTAGACTCTGAAAAGAAGAAAACAGAGAAGGTTGCAAGTGGCTATTGGGAAGGAAATGGGCGAACACATGGTGTAGTGGTTGAATGCTAATGTCTTGGAATTAGGTCTAGTTGACCTACAAGAGTTCCAAAAGTGGCTGGAAACAATGGATGGTGTAGACAAAGAGAAGGTGAACAAGATACTAGTTGAAGCAAGTCAAATAACTCAAGGGTCAGTGCCACAACCACTTATGGAGATAGCTTCCACTTCACGGTACCAATAGTTCAAGCAACTGATTCATTGATGGTTACAAGTAAAACTTTTATAAATGTAAATTTCTTTATTCTCTTGTCATATTTCCATATGTTCAACCATGCTACATTGTGCTAGTGTTTATTCTTCTTTCGGTGTGTGTGTTTGTGTACACACACATGCAAGTTTTCTCCTCTCCACCACTCGGCCACCAGGACATAGCCCACCCATGACTATGTGATTCATTGTAGTGTGTAGTCCAATGGACCCCCACTAGACTAGTCCAATGTACTCAATTCCTCTCTAGAAGCTCTCTATATGCCATCAGACCAAGAGCCAATGATCCGATGCACACCCTCTGTAGCATGGTCCGCTGCCTTGTAAACCAAACCCTCGGCGTCAGTCCCTAAAGCACATGGTCTGATGGACCTTTCGGCCAGGTTTAGATGCCCTCATACCCTAGATGCCCTTTGCCAGCATGCATAAGACCATAGCCTTTGGTCTGATGGCTCCTTGAGCTAGAGCCTGATGCCCCATTTGACCCTCCATTAACTTCCAGTTCCAACTTATTTGTGAATGGGGTTCATTCCAAATGATCTTTGGGCTTTCATAAAACCACCTAGTGCTAAGTTTGACAAGTGTGCACCACACCTAAACCATTAGACTTGCCTAGGTCAAGATACTAGTTCATATCTCCCTTTAAAGTATGGCTAAAGGAAAATAATGTCTAAACCACTCTAAGTGTTTTCCAACTCCAATTGACACTTAGAACTGGTCCATTGTCTTTGTCATCCATCCTTTGAAAACCATAATCAAATCCATCAATAGGGGGATGAAAATGATTGCTTTCCCAAACAATCACTACTGTCATGATCTAACTCAAATTACCTCTACAAAATGAACATTAGTCACAATGATCTTGTGTAGTCAATAATCACTAAAACCCAACAAGGGGCCTTGATGCTTTCAGCTATCTATGGCAAGAAAGGACATGCTACCATTTGTGCATGAGTGTAACAGATACTGTCCATAGGCTGAACATGGAGTACTCAAAGCTACAACAGTCTCTAGACTTTGAAAAGAAGAAAAAAAGAGAAGGTTGGAAGAGGCTATTAAGAAGGAAATGGGTGAACTCATGATGTAGTGGTTGAATGCTAATGTCATGGAATTGAGTCTAGTTGAGCTGTAAGAGCTCCAAAAGTGGCTGGAAGTAGTGGATGGTGTAGTCAAAGAGAAGGTGAACAAGATACTAGATGAAGCAAGGCAAATAACTCAAGGGTTAGTGCCACAATCACTTATAGAGATAGCTTCCAATTCACGGTAATAGTTTAGTCAGCACATCAATGCTGATTGAATGGCTCCCATAGGTCCTAGTTCGAGCAATGGATTCATTGATCGTAGCAAATAAAACATTTATGAATGTAAATTTGTTTATTCTCTCGTCATATTTCCATATGTTCAACCACGCTACATTGTGCTAGTGTTTATTCTTCTTCTTCTAGTGTATGCAAGTTTTTGGTAATAAAAATAAGATGAGGGGTAAGCAAAGAAGAGGAGCTTGGGAACCAAGCCCACTTAACTAGCCCGCACCCTCATTTCCTCCTCTTCGCCACTCGGCCACCAGGACATAGCCCACTAATGACTATGCGATTCATTGTAGTGTATGGTCCGATGGACCCCCATCGGACCAACCCAATGTGCTCAATTCCTCTCTAGAAGTTCCCTGAGTTCCATCAGGCCAAGAGCCAATGGTCCGATGCACCCTCTGTAGCTTGGTCCGATACCTTGTAGACCAAACCCTTGGTGTATAGTCCCTGCACCACATGGTACGATGGACCTTTGGGCCAAGGTTAGATACCCTCAAACCCTAGCTACGTTTTGCCAGCATGCATCAGACCACAGGCTTTGGTCCGATGGCTCCTTGAGCTATGGCCTAATGCCCCATTTCACCCTCCATTAAGTATTGCAAATGGAAAAATAATGTCCTAAACTACTCTAAGTGTCTCCCAACTCCAATTGGCACTTAGAACTAGTCCATTGTTAACCTCGTCATCTATCCTTTGAAAACAGAAAAAAACAATAGGGACATGAAAACCATCGATTGCCCAAACAATCACCATTATCATGGCCTAAGTCAAATTGCCTCTACAAAACACACGTTAATCACAAAGATCTTGTGTAGTAATTAATCACCGAAACCCAACAAGGGCCTTGATGCTTTTAGCTATCTAAGGAGAGAAAGGTTGGGCTACCATTTTGTGCATGGGTGTAACGGATACTGTCCATAGGCTGAACATGGAGTACTAGGGATAGTAACGTATAATATCCATGGGCTAAACATAGAGTACTCAGAGCTACAACGGTCTCTATACTCTAAAAAGAAGACAAAGAGAAGGTTAAAAGAGGCTATTGAGAAGGAAATGGGTGAACGCATGATGTAGTGGTTGAATGCTAATGTCTTGGAATTGGGTCTAGTTGAGCTGCAAGAGCTCCAAAAGTGGCTGGAAGCAGTGGATGGTTTAGTCAAAGAGAAGGTGAACAAGATACTAGTTGAAGCAAGGCAAATAACTCAAAGAAATGTGGCACAACCACTTATGGAGATAGCTTCCACGTCACGATACCAATTTGGTCAGCACATCAATGCTGATTCAATGGCTTCCACAGGTCCTAGTTTGATCAATATATTCATTGATCGTTGCAAATAAAACATTTATAAATGTAAATTTCTTTATTCTCTTGTCATATTTCCATATGTTCAACCACACTACATTGTGCTAGTGTTTATTCTTCTTCTTCTGGTGTGTGTGTGTGTGTTTGTGTACACACACGTATGTAAATTTTAGGTAATAAAAATAAGATGAGGGGTAAACAAAGAAGAGGAGCTTGGGAACCTAGCCCACTTAACCAGCTCGCACCCCATTCTCCTCCTCTCCGCCACTCGGCCACCAGGACATAGCCCACCCATGACTATGCGATTCATTGTAGTGTATGGTCCGATGGACCCCACTGACTAGCCCAATGTGCTCAATTCCTCTCTAGAAGTTCCCTGAGTTCCATCAGACCGAGAGCCAATGTTCCGATGCACCCTTTGTAGCTTGGTCCGATACCTTGTAGACTAAACCCTCGGTGTACAGTCCCTGCACCACATGGTACGATGGACCTTTGGGCCAGGGTTAGATACCCTCAAACCCTAGCTACGCTTTGCCAGCATGCATCAGACCACAAGCTTTGGTCCGATGGCTCCTTGAGCTAGGGCCTAATGCCCCATTTCACCCTCCATTAAGTATTGCAAATGGAAAAATAATGTCCTAAACTACTCTAAGTGTCTCCCAACTCCAATTGGCACTTAGAACTAGTCCATTCTTAACCTCGTCATCCATCCTTTGAAAACAGAAAAAATCAATAGGGACATGAAAACTATCGATTGCCCAAACAATCACCATTTTCATGGCCTAAGTCAAATTGCCTCTACAAAACACACGTTAATCACAAAGATCTTGTGTAGTCATTATTCACCAAAACCCAACAAGGGCCTTGATGCTTTTAGCTATCTAAGGAGAGAAAGGTTGGGCTACCATTTTGTGCATGGGTGTTACGGATACTATCCATAGGCTGAACATGGAGTACTAGGGATAGTAACGGATAATGTCCATGGGCTAAACATAGAGTACTCAGAGCTACAACGGTCTCTATACTCTAAAAAGAAGAAAAAGAGAAGGTTGCAAGAGGCTATTGAGAAGGAAATGGGTGAACGCATGATGTAGTGGTTGAATGCTAATGTCTTGGAATTGGGTCTAGTTGAGCTGCAAGAGCTCCAAAAGTGGCTGGAAGCAGTGGACGGTGTAGTCAAAGAGAAGGTGAACAAGATACTAGTTGAAGCAAGGCAAATAACTCAAGGAAATGTGGCACAACCACTTATGGAGATAGCTTCGACGTCACGGTACTAGTTTGGTCAGCACATCAATGCTGATTCAATGGCTTCCACATGTCCTGGTTTGATCAATGGATTCATTGATCATTGCAAATAAAACATTTATAAATGTAAATTTCTTTATTCTCTTGTCATATTTCCATATGTTCAACCACACTACATTGTGCTAGTGTTTATTCTTCTTCTTCTGGTGTGTGTGTGTGTGTGTGTGTGTACACACGTATGTAAATTTTAGGTAATAAAAATAAGATGAGGGGTAAACAAAGAAGAGGAGCTTGGGAACCTAGCCCACTTAACCAGCTCGTACCCCATTCTCCTCCTCTCCGCCACTCGGCCACCAGGACATAGCCCACCCATGACTATGCGATTCATTGTAGTGTATGGTCCGATGGACCCCACCGGACCAGCCCAATGTGCTCAATTCCTCTCTAGAAGTTCCCTGAGTTCCATCAGACCGAGAGCCAATATTCTGATGCACCCTCTGTAGCTTGGTCCGATACCTTGTAGACTAAACCCTCGGTGTACAGTCCCTGCACCACATGGTCCGATGGACCTTTGGGCTAGGGCTAGATACCCTCAAACCCTAGCTGCGCTTTGCCAGCATGCATCGGACCACAGGCTTTGTGATAAGGACATCACTACTTCGTCACATACAATCCAAGGAGAGGAGGAGGTCCAGCATGGGCGTCCAATTCATCTTTTCCATGGTGGAGGCCCAGTCCAACTGAAGTTGGAGCCCATCTCATGTTTCAGGACTAGTCTGCCTTAAACTGGTCACCTAGGACACATCCGGACTCTATTTTCGACGATCCACATATTGATGGAAAGCTAATTTGATAAGGAAGACAATCCAAGTGGTCTTACGTCAAAAGCTATTTGGAATCAACAGGAATCGTGGTCACAAGTCAGCGTCCAGAATCTGCCAGGGTGCTGTGCGACACTATCTTTTGGTCCGTTAGACCATGTATTGTGTTTGGGCCCATTAGGGGCATGTCCAGGGGTCTTGCACGACCCTAAAGTCTTCATAAACAGCCGCCACCCCTCCATTAGGGTTTGGGTTTTGTTTAGTTCTTAATTTCCTCATGAAACAGACGTCGTTTTGCTGCAACTGTGCCTCCAAGGCTACTTGCTGTGAACCAGGGCCCTAGTTCTTGATCTTGTTCGCCTGTGGCAATTAGTCCTTTTGAATAAAGACTTGAACTCCTTCTCATTATTATAAGCCTCATATTTATTTGTAATTTCAGATTGCGTTCATCCTGTTCTTTCTTGTGTTCTCGATTCGCTTACAGGAAAGCCTTCTCGGCGAGGTCAATCACGTTTGCGTGGTTGATAACCAACGGAGCAGTGGTGTAATGGTTGCGGGGGTCCGAATCAGTCTTGGTTCAAAGCCTAGATCGTGAACGTCAAGTCTCCACCAATCGACGCTATCATACCTATCGGAAGATGTCTCTAGCAAACCATTAAATGAACCTTCAAGTAACATGAAAGAAGTTTTATTTGCTCTTAAATCTATTCTTATTGTTTATGATGAACCATGTTATGCTCTAACTTGTACATCGCCTATTTATCCACTTGGTCCTACTCCTAGTGCTATGCCTCTTGTTGGTACTAACCTTTTGTAGGAGAAGGAGGATGAATTTCCAGCAGGGAAGCCACCATGGCAGCCGCCTTTGAGAAGGATGGGGCGCCAAGATGAACGTCTTCTTCCGGAGCCATCGTTGCTGTCATCCATTGGAGGAGACGATCTACTTCAGTCGAGGACAACTTCAATTCAAGAAAGGGAGGATGATGAGGACATCACTACTTCGTCGCATACAAGCCAAGGAGAGGAGGAGGTCCAGCATGGGCGTCCAATTCATCTTTTCCATGGTGGAGGCCCAGTCCAACTGAAGTTGGAGCCCATCTCGGGTTCCAGGACCAGTCTATCTTAAACTGGTCACCCAGGACGCATCCGGACTCTGTTTTTGACGATCCACATATGGATGAAAAGCTAATTTGATAAGGAAGCCAATCCAAGTGGTCTTACATCAAAAGCTCTTTGGAATCAACGAGAATCGTGGTCACAAGTCAGCGTCCAGAATCTGCAAGGGCGCTACGACACTGTCTTTTGGTCCGTTGGACCATGTATCGTGTTTGGGCCCGAGTCTTCATAAACAGCCGCCACCCCTCTATTAGGGTTTGGGTTTTGTTTAGTTCTTGATTTCCTCGTGAAACAGATGTCGTTTTGCTGCAACTGTGCCATCAAGGCTGCTTGCTGTGAACCAGGGCCCCAGTTCTTGATCTTGTTTGCCTATGGCGATTAGTCCTTTCGAATAAAGACTTGAAATCCTTCTTGTTTTTATAAGCCTCATATTTATTTGCAATTTCAGATTGCGTTCATCCCGTTCTTACTTGTGTTCTTGATTCGCTTGCAGGAAAGCCTTCTCGGCGAGGTCAATCGCGTTCACGTGGTTGATAACCAATGAAGCAGTGGTGTAACGGTTGCGGGGGTCCGAATCAGTCTTGGTTTGAAGCCTAGATCGTGAACATCGAGTCTCCACCAATCAACGCTATCATACCTTTCGGAAGATCGGGCCTAGTCTACATCACTTTGGTCCAATGGTTCCATGAGCTAGGGCCTAATGCCCCATTTCACCCTCCATTAAGTATTGCAAATGAAAAATAATGTCCTAAACTACTCTAAGTGTCTCCCAACTCTAATTGGCACTTAGAACTAGTCCATTCTTAACCTCGTCATCCATCCTTTGAAAACAGAAAAAATCAATAGGGACATGAAAACCATAGATTGCCCAAACAATCACCATTATCATGGCCTAAGTCAAATTGCCTCTACAAAACACATGTTAATCACAAAGATCTTGTGTAGTCATAAATCACCGAAACCCAACAAGGGCCTTGATGCTTCTAGCTATCTAAGGAGAGAAAGGTTGGGCTACCATTTTGTGCATGGGTGTAACGGATACTGTCCATAGGCTGAACATGGAGTACTAGGGAGGGTAACAGATAATGTCCATGGGCTAAACATAAAGTACTCAGAGCTACAACGGTCTCTAGACTCTGAAAAAAGAAAAAGAGAAGGCTGCAAGAGGCTATTGAGAAGGAAATGGGTGAACACATGATGTAGTGGTTGAATGCTAATGTCTTGGAATTGTGTCTAGTTGAGTTGCAAGAGCTCCAAAAGTGGCTGGAAGCAATGGACGGTGTAGTCAAAGAGAAGGTGAACAAGATACTAGTTGAAGCAAGGCAAATAACTCAAGGATCAGTGCCACAACCACTTATGGAGATAGCTTCCACGTCACGGTACCAGTTTGGTCAGCACATCAATGCCAATTGAATGGCTTCCACAGGTCCTAGTTCGAGCAATGAATTCATTGATCGTAGCAAATAAAACATTTATAAATGTAAATTTCTTATTCTCTTGTCATATTTCCATATGTTCAACCACGCTACATTATGCTAGTGTTTATTCTTCTTCTTCCGGTGTGTGTGTGTGTGTGTGTGTGTGTGTGTACACACACGTATGTAAGTTTTAGGTAATAAAAATAAGATGAGGGGTAAACAAAGAAGAGGAGCTTGGGAACCTAGCCCACTTAACCAGCCCGCACCCCATTCTCCTCCTCTCCGCCACTCGGCAACCAGGACATAGCCCACCCATGACTATGTGATTCATTGTAGTGTATGGTCCGATGGACCCCACCGGACCAGCGCAATCTGCTCAATTCCTCTCTAGAAGTTCCCTGAGTTCCATCAGACCGAGAGCCAATGTTCCGATGCACCCTCTGTAGCTTGGTCCGATACCTTGTAGACCAAACCCTCGGTGTACAGTCCCTGCACCACATGGTCTGATGGACCTTTGGGCCAGGGCCAAATACCCTCAAACCCTAGTTGCGCTTTGCCTGCATGTATCGAACCACAGGCTTTGGTCCGATGGCTCCTTGAGCTAGGGCCTAATGCCCCATTTCACCCTCCATTAAGTATTGCAAATGGAAAAATAATGTCCTAAACTACTCTAAGTGTCTCCCAACTCCAATTGGCACTTAGAACTAGTCCATTCTTAACCTCGTCATCCATCCTTTAAAAACAGAAAAAACCAATAGGGACATGAAAACCATCGATTGCCTAAACAAACACCATTATCATGGCCTAAGTCAAATTGCCTCTATAAAACACACGTTAATCACAAAGATCTTGTGTTGTCATTAATCACCGAAACCCAACAAGGGCCTTGATGCTTTTAGCTATCTAAGGAGAGAAAGGTTGGGCTACCATTTTGTGCATGGGTGTAACAGATACTGTACATAGGCTGAACATGGAGTACTAGGGACAGTAACGGATAATGTCCATGGGCTAAACATAGAGTACTCAGAGCTACAACAGTCTCTAGACTATGAAAAGAAGAAAAAGAGAAGGTTGCAAGAGGATATTGAGAAGGAAATGGGTGAACGCATGATGTAGTGGTTGAATGCTAATGTCTTGGAATTGGGTCTAGTTGAGCTGCAAGAGCTCCAAAAGTGGCTGGAAGCAGTGGATGGTTTAGTCAAAGAGAAGGTGAACAAGATAGTAGTTGAAGCAAGGCAAATAACTTAAGGATTAGTGCCACAACCACTTATGGAGATAACTTCCACGTCATGGTACCAGTTTGGTCAGCACATCAATGCCGATTGAATGGCTTCCATAGGTCCTAGTTCAAGCAATGGATTCATTGATCGTAGCAAATAAAACATTTATAAATGTAAATTTCTTTATTCTCTTGTCATATTTCCATATGTTCAACCACGCTACATTGTGCTAGTGTTTATTCTTCTTCTTCCGGTGTGTGTGTGTGTGTGTACACACACGTATGTAAGTTTTAGGTAATAAAAATAAGATGAGGGGTAAACAAAGAAGAGGAGCTTGGGAACCTAGCCCACTTAACCAGCCCACACCCCATTCTCCTCCTCTCTGCCACTTGACCACCCGGACATAGCCCACCCATGACTATGCGATTCATTGTAGTGTATGGTCCGATGGACCCCACCGGACCAGCCCAATGTGCTCAATTCCTCTCTAGAAGTTCCCTGAGTTCCATCAGACCGAGAGCCAATGTTTTGATGCACCCTCTATAGCTTGGTCTGATACCTTGTAGACCAAACCCTCGGTGTACAGTCCCTGCACCACATGGTACGATGGACCTTTGGGCCAAGGTCAAATACCCTCAAACCCTAGCTACACTTTGCCAGCATGCATCAGACCATAGGCTTTGGTCCGATGGCTCCTTTAGCTAGGGCCTAATGCCCCATTTCACCCTCCATTATGTATTGCAAATGGAAAAATAATGTCTTAAACTACTCTAAGTGTCTCCCAACTCCAATTGGCACTTAGAACTAGACCATTCTTAACCTTGTCATCCATCCCTTGAAAACAGAAAAAATCAATAGGGACATGAAAACCATCGATTGCCCAAACAATCACCATTATCATGGCCTAAGTCAAATTGTCTCTATAAAACACACGTTAATCACAAAGATCTTGTGTAGTCATTAATCACCGAAACCCAACAAGGGCCTTGATGCTTTTAGCTATCTAAGGAGAGAAAGGTTGGGCTACCATTTTGTGCATGGGTGTAACGGATACTATCCATAGGCTAAACATGGAGTACTAGGGACAGTAACGGGTAATGTCCTTGGGCTGAACATAGAGTACTTAGAGCTACAACAGTCTCTAGACCCTGAAAAGAAGAAAAGAGAAGGTTGCAAGAGGCTATTGAGAAGGAAATGGGTGAACGCATGATGTAGTGGTTGAATGCTAATGTCTTGGAATTGGGTCTAGTTGAGCTGCAAGAGCTCCAAAAGTGGCTAGAAGCAGTGGACGTTGTAGTCGTCAGAGAAGGTGAACAAGATACTAGTTGAAGCAAGGCAAATAACTCAAGGATCAGTGCCACAACCACTTAGGGAGATAGCTTCCAATTCACGGTACCAGTTTGGTTAGTACATCAATGTCGATTGTATGGCTTCCATAGGTCCTAGTTCGAGCAATGGATTCATTGATCGTTGCAAATAAAGCATTTATAAATGTAAATTTCTTTATTCTCTTGTCATATTTCCATATGTTCAACCACGCTACATTGTGCTAGTGTTTATTCTTCTTATTCTTCCGTGTGTGTGTGTGTTTGTGTACACATGTATGCAAGTTTTAGGTAATAGAAATAAGACGAGGGGTAAGCAAAGAAGAGGAGCTAGGGAACCTAGCCCACTTAACCAGCATGCACGCCCTTCCCCTCCTCTCCACCACTCGGCCACCAGGATATAGCCCACCCATGACTATGCGATTGATTGTAGTGTATGGTCCGATGGACCCCCACCGGAGTAGACCAATGTGCTCAATTCCTCTCTAGAAGTTCCTTGAGTTCCATCAGACTAAGAGCCAATGGTCCGATGCACCCTCTATGGCTTGGTCCGATGCCTTGTAGACCAAACCCTCGGTGTACAATCCCTATAGCACATGGTCCATTGGACCATTAGGCCATGGTCAGATACCCTCAAACCCTAGTTGCGCTTTGCCAGCATGCATCGGACCACAGGCTTTGGTCCAATGGCTCCTTGAGCTAGGGCCTAATGTCCCATTTGACCCTCCATTAAGTATGGCCAATGGAAAATAATGTCCTAAACTACTCTAAGTGTCTCCGAACTACAATTGCACTTAGAACTAGTCCATCCTTAACCTCATCATCCATGCTTTGAAAACCGAAAAAATCAATAGGGGCATGAAAACCATCGATTGCCCAAACAATCACCATTATCATGATCTTAATCAAATTGCCTCTACAACAAACACACGTTAATCACAAAGATCTTCTATAGTCATTAATCACCGAAACCCAACTAGGGGTCTTGATGGTTTTAGCTATCTAAGGCGAGAAAGGATGGGCTACCATTTTGTGCATGTGCATAACAGATAATGTCCATAGGCTGAACATAGAGTACTTAGAGCTACAACAGTCTCTAGACTCTAAAAAGACAAAAAAGAGAAGGTTGCAAGAGGCTATTGAGAAGGAAATTGGTGAACACATGATGTAGTGGTTGAATGCTAATGTCCTAGAATTGGGTCTAGTTGTGCTGCAAGAGCTCCAAAAGTGGCTAGAAGTAGTGGATGGTGTAGTCAAAGAGAAGGTGAACAAGATACTAGTTGAAGCAAGACAAATAACTCAATGGTTAGTGCCAGAACTACTTATGGAGATAGCTTCCACTTCATGGTACCAGTTTGGTCAGCACATCAATGTCGATTGAATGGCATCCACAGGTCCTGGTTCGAGTAATGGATTCATTGATTGTAGCAAATAAAACTTTTATAAATGTAATTTTTTTATTCTCTTGAAATATTTCCATATGTTCAACCATGCTACATTGTGCTAGTGTTTATTCTTCTTCTTTCGGTGTGCAAGTTTTAGGTAATAGAAATAAGACGAGGGGTAAGCAAAGAAGAGGAGCTTGGGTACCTATCCCACTTAACCAGCCCGTACCCCCTTCTCCTCCTCTCCGCCAATCGGCCACCAGGACATAGCCCACCCATGACTATGCGATTCATTGTAGTGTATGGTCCGATGGACCCCCACCGAACCAGCCCAATGTGCTTAATTTCTCTCTAGAAGTTCCTTGAGTTCCATCAGACCGAGAGCTAATGGTCCGATGCACCCTCTGTAGCTTGGTCGAATGCCTTATAGACCAAACCCTCGGTGTACAATCCCTATAGCACATGGTCCATTGGACCATTAGGCCATGGTCAGATACCCTCAAACCCTAGTTGCGCTTTGCCAGCATGCATCGGACCACAGGTTTTAGTCCGATGGCTCCTTGAGCTAGGGCCTAATGCCCCATTTGACCCTCCATTAAGTATGGCCAATGGAAAAATAATGTCCTAAACTATTCTAAGTGTCTTCCAACTCCGATTGGCACTTAGAACTAGTCTGTCCTTAACCTTGTCATCCATCCTTTAAAAACCGAAAAAATCAATAGGGGCATAAAAACCACCGATTGCCCAAACAATCACCATTATCATGACCTAAGTCAAATTGCCTCAACAAAACACACGTTAATCACAAAGATCTTGTGTAGTCATTAATCACCGAAACCCAACTAGGGGCCTTGATGCTTTCAGCTATCTAAGGCGAGAAAGGATGGGCTACCATTTTGTGCACGCGCGTAACAGATACTATCCATAGGCTGAACATGGATTACTAGGGACAGTAAGGGATAATGTCTATAGACTAAAATAGAGTACTCAGAGCTACAATAGTCTCTAGACTCTGAAAAGAAGAAAAAGAGAAGGTTACAAGAGGCTATTGAGAAGGAAATGGGTGAACGCATGATGTAGTGGTTGAATGCTAATGTCTTGGAATTGGTTCTAGTTGAGCTGCAAGAGCTCCAAAAGTGTCTGGAAGCAGTGGACGGTGTAGTCAAAGAGAAGGTGAACAAGATACTAGTTGAAGCAAGGCAAATAACTCAAGGGTCAGTGCCACAACCACTTATGGAGATAGCTTCCACTTCACGCTACTAGTTTGGTCAGCACATCAATGCTGATTGAATGGCTTCCATAGGTCATAGTTCGAGCAATGGATTCATTGATCGTAGCAAATAAAACTTTTATAAATGCAAATTTCTTTATTCTCTTGTCATATTTCCATATGTTCAACCATGCTACATTGTGCTAGTGCTTATTCTTCGTCTTCGGTGTGTGTGTGTGTACACGTACACACATATGCAAGTTTTAGGTAATATAAATAAGACGAGGGGTAAGCAAAGAAGAGGAGGTTGGGAACCTATCACACTTAACCAGCCCGCTCCCCCTTCTCCTCCTCTCCGCCACTTAGCCACCAGGACACAACCCATCTACGGCTATGCGATTCATTGTAGTGTATGGTCCAATGGACTCCCACCGGACCAGCTCAATGTGCTCAATTCCTCTCTGGAAGTTCTCTGAGTTCCATCAGATCAAGAGCCAATGGTCTGATGCACCCTCCGCAGCTTGGTTTGATGCCTTGTATACCATACCCTCGGTGTATAGTCCTAGTAGCACATGGTCCGATGGACCTTTGGGCCAGGGTTAGATGCCCTCAAACCCTAGCTGCGCTTTGCCAACATGATCGGACCACTGCCTTTGGTCCTATGACTCCTTGAGCCTGGGCCTGACACCCCATTTGACCCTCTATTAAGTATGGCTAGTGGAAAAATGATGTCCTAAACTACTCTAAGTGTCTCCCAACTCCAATTGACACTTAGAATTAGTTTGACCTTAACCTCGTCATCCATCCTTTGAAAACTAAAAAAATCAATAGGGGCAAAAAAACCATCAATTGACCAAATAGTCACCATTATTGTGATCTAAGTCAAATTGCCTATACAAAACACACGTTAGTCACAAAATTCTTGGGTAGTCATTAATCACCGAAACCTAACTAGGGGCCTTGATGCTTTCATCTATCTAGGGCGAGAAAGGATGGACTACCATTTGTGCACACGCGTAACGGATACTGTCCATAGGCTGAACATGGAGTACTAGGGGTAGTAACGGATACTGTCCATAGGCTGAACATGGAGTACTCAAAGCTACAAAAGTCTCTAGACTCTGAAAAGAAGAAAAAAGAGAAGGTTGTAAGAGGCTATTGAGAAGGAAATGGATGAACACATGATGTAGTGGTTGAATGCTAATGTCTTGGAATTGGGTCTAGTTGAGCTGCAAGAGCTCCAAAAGTGGCTGGAAGCAGTGGACGGTGTAGTCAAAGAGAAGATGAACAAGATAATAGTTGAAGCAAGCCAAATAAGTCAAGGGTCAGTGCCACAACCACTTATGGAGATAGCTTTCACTTAACGGTACCAGTTTGGTTAGCACATCAATGCGGATTCAATGGCTTCCATAGGTCCTGGTTTGATCAATGGATTCATTGATCGTAGCAAATAAAACATTTATAAATGTAAATTTCTTTATTCTCTTGTCATATTTCCATATGTTCAACCATGCTACATTGTGCTAGTGTTTATTCTTCTTCTTCTTCCATTGTGTGTGTTTGTGTACACACACGTATGCAAGTTTTAGGTAATAGAAATAAGACAAGCGGTAAGCAAAGAAGAGGATTGTATTCGTGTACAGAGAATCAGATGGATAGCATACATGACACAGGGATTTATACTGGTTTAGGTACGTGGTTGGTGATTGTAGCTATGTGCAACTTTTTTTGGAACTTAGCTAAGGGCAACTGGCGAGTAGTAAGAAGTGTTGTTTCTGTCATAAGGAAGACGATCAAACACTTCTTTTTTGAATGCAAATTTTCAAAACAAATTTGGTCTTTCATACAGGTGACTCCAGGGCTTTTCTTAACCTTGTAGCATGCCATATATGTTTGCTGGTTATGGGGAATTAGAACAAACATGAGAATACTATGCTTGCTAGTAGTGAGCCCAACTTGTTGGTCCGTGTGGGTTTGCATGCATGGGTGTGTTGTGTGCACGCATGTGCACAAATGGGACATCACAAGTTGAGCGAAAGACTTGCAAATTCTCTCATGGAAACCGAATGAAAAAACTACCAAATATGGAGAAGAATATCGTCAACCCAATTGATATCTGGATCACTCTCCTACTTCCAACTTCCGTTAGCCTAAGAGGGCCAATGTTTTCACTACATTGAACAAAAGAAAGAAAAAAAAAGACTTTTTTCAGAACAAGCAGTATTGGTTAAGCATGTCTTCTAATAAAAAAATTGTTATCTTAGTTGAGTCTTATGGGTAGAATGTTCTAGTTTCAACCGTAAAACTTTTACATGCATTTTTAGGAACCAAGGCGGAAATTTTGAAAGTGCTAGAATCTAATCTAGAATGAAAACCTCACAAATAGGGGGGCACGTTAAGATTATTTACACTGATACGGATGAACCTGCTGGAGCACCAAAGATCCCCTCCAAGAACATTCCAACACCCTGCTTGCGAACATTTTGTTAGAAGGCTCGAAATTTTGTAAGCACAAGAAGTGGTCACATCACATCTATACACATACTGTGTTTGGCACACGACTGAAACTATTGCTCGATAGAGATAGGGAAGACTTTGTGGTTTTCTATAAAATACACACAAAAATAATATATCTAGAGAGAAACAACAGATTTTGTCACTACTACACAAGTCTAATTGGAGGCGGGCGTTTCAGGTTAACGAAGGCGGGCATTGCATCTGCCTCTGTCAAAAGGTTTGTGTTAATGTAGACCTACGGAGGCGGTTGCTCTGCCCACCTCGGTTAATCGATTCATAGAGGCGGACACAAATGCCCGCCTGCGTAAATAATTTCATGATTTCAAAAAGCCTGCCGAGCCCGGTTGCCCACCTAGCCTGGGCACATGGATGACGGTCTAGTGTATGGATTGATAGCTACCTTTACTTAAAAAACTTTTATAGGCTGTGCGCTTTTATGGTTTATGCAGTGGTTGGAAGTGATCTCAAGGTGTTTATATAAACTTGATGTAATTATCTTGAGTTCAATAAAATATTAATAAAAAATACCATACTACAATAAAGTTGATCTCGTTATTCAATTCATCATGCAATTCATATGCCTCCTTTTATTCTTTTGATAATTCATGGTTATGTTAATGCTCAGTCTAATTCATGGTCAGATTACTTAGCATGCTTCTGTCTAGTGTCTTGACGGTGATTAGAGTAGCATAGTTAATCCCACATGGGTTTTCAACACATGCAAGGATGTCTCCCTTAGTGAGCCCTTGTGGTCGTGCCTTTGGGGAACTGGCACAAAACAGTTGGGTTATGACAGGTTCTGGGAAGGCCCTTGCCACCAACATCATTTAAGCTTGTTGCCCTTGCCACCGCCACCAAGCTTGAGATTTTGGTCCTCGCTTGGCATGGCAGGATTTGCATCCCATAGCTGGGAAGACTTGACATCCTTCTTCAACTTTTTGATGACAGTGTTCATGTCCATCAGGCCAGTCACCTTCCCTTGCTCTGTGCCTATACTAGTTTGGTACACACCTGTATAGATCAATCCAATACATTTAAGGTTTTCACACACAACACAAAAGTAGCGTGTTTAAACAAATGGAAATATAACTAAAGAATGAAGAAATTTACATTTATAAAAGATTTCTTTGTTACCATCAATCTTGTGTAGGGCCCTCTTAACTTTCTTGAGACAGCCTTTGCAGTGGATGCTCACTTTCAAGTCGCATGTCTGGGAACAAATAGAAAGAGAAAATGTTAAGAAAATAGCAAAGCCCTTTCTGAAGAATTGCACAGTAAAATGATTGTCAAGCTGCTTGCTACTTGATAAAAAAACTGAGCATGGAACATAAGAAGGAATACACACATGCGCGTGCGGACGCACACACACATGCACACACTCGCACACATATCGGGAGAAAAGAACAGATGGTAAGACAAAGTGGAGTGGTTGAACATCACTATGTAAAAAAGCCACATATCCACCATGTCACCTACAGACGCCAGCACAAACGCGTGTCTGTAGTAAGTCGTCGGCGGGGTCACCGGTCTGGCGAGGTCAACACGCGTTTGTAATAAGCGCCTACTACAAACGCGTGTTAGGAAAACATGTATATGCTAACTCTCCAAACGTGCGTTTGTAACATGCGTCTGTAGCTGCATCAATTATTACAAACGCATGTTGTGTTTTCTGAATCTCAGATAACGGGTTCAAACTCTACAGACGCGGGTACGTAACACGTGTCTGTATCTGGGTAACATATGGGATGGTAAGACAAAGTAGAGTGGTTGAACATGCATGTGGAAATGTAACAAAAGAATAAAGAAATTTACATTTTTAAAACTTTTCTTCGTTATCATCAATCTTGTGTAGGATCCTCTTAATTTCCTTCACACACCCATCACTTGGATACCCACTTTCAAGTCATAGCTCTAGAAATAAACAGAAACAAAAGTTAAGAAAATAGCAAGCCACTTTATAAAGAAATGCACGGTGAAATGATTAACACACACACGCACACGTGCATTTGTGTATGTGTGTGTGCGTGCGTGTGTGACACACACACATCTTAGAGAATTGCATATGCGTGCTTTTTCTTGAGTAGAGAGGAAGCAAAACGAACTCACATGCATCCTGAGAATTGCCACCTTACTCATATCCTTGACCGCCTCAAAATCAACACCATCAACAAGGAAACATGTCTCATAACTCTCTTCATCTATCTCTGTATTAGCGAGAGTGACAGATCGATAGAGATGATAGGGAATTTGTTGATGGCAAAATCCACTTGACAACACGATAACCTGGCGTATGTTCCTCATCGAGTTCTTGTTGGCAAACTGCATGAATGAGACTACCACAACAGCTGACATCAACAAAAATTCACTGATCCACCGCCGGTGGCCAGTTGGAGGCCAGATCCACGCCAAGAGACGGAGAGGGAGAGGCGCCATGCGCCGAGAGAGGGAGAGGGATGGGCACCACGGCTTGCCCGCCACCTGGGGGGAGAGGCGGCACTGTGCCTCACTGGGCCGTGGAGAGGAGAGGGAGGGAGGGGGTCGCGCATGGGGAGAGAGAGCCTCGCCTCACGCCGGGGTGGGGGGGGGGGGGGGGGGGGGGGCTCCACCACCCCTACACCAGTGTGGAGAGGGAGAAGGAGGGGGAGCACCACATGGGGAGAGAGGGAGGGTTGGGCGCTCAATTGAGAGAGGGAGAGAGAGAGAGAGAGAGAGAGAGAGAGAGGAAACCCTAATTGCTGCTCTTATACAAGCATGATAGAAGCCCGATTTGGGCTTTGGCTGGGCCTCGGCCATGATTAACCAAGGCGGGCCTCATAACTTTTTCGGAGGTGGACGTCTTAAAAGGCCCGCCTCAGTAAATCGATTTTAGAATGTAGGCAATCATGACCACCTCCATAAATAAAATGTCTACTTCCGTAAATGCATTTTGCGATACGGTTAATTGTGACCGCCTCCGTAAATAAAAACGTCCGCCTCTGGAAATCCTCAGTCATTTTCCGAGGCGGTTGGATTTTGTGACCGCCTCTGTTAATGGTTGGGCAGTGCCTCGCAAAATCATTTTTATGGTAGTGTGTGTTTGAAGAAAACCATAAGCAAGGATTATTATCAAGAGGCTAAGAAAAAATATAGGAGGTAGGAGGAAGAAGATACTCCTCTATGTCTATTTACATCAAGCTAAGGACATGGAGTCAGTCTCTATTATGCTTTCCATTTTTGTTTCCTTGAGACCTCCTTTGGCCTCGGAAGCTGAAGCCTTTCTTTTCACCTTCAGCGGATTGTGCTTGCAAAAAAACACTAGCCCAAGAGGGGTTTAAATAGGCTACTAGTGCGGGCACACAAAGTTGACTGTAAAGTTACATATTAATATTGCATGAATGTGGTGTGGTGGGGGTGTTGTGGTGTGGTGTGTTGTGTTGTGGTTGTGTGTGGGTTTGTGTGTCTGCGGGTGGGTTTGCATGCATGGGTGTGTTGTGTGCACACACATGCACAAATGGGACATCACAATTTGAGCGAAAGAGTTGCAAATTCTCTCATGGGAACCAAATGAAAAAACTACCAAATATGGAGAAGAATATCATAAACCCTCGATATATGGCTCACTCTCCTACTTCCAACTTTTGTCAGCCCTAGGAGGCCAATATTTTCACTACATTGAAGAAAACAAAGAAAAAAGAAGACTTTTTCAGAACAAGCAGTAATGGTTAAGCTTGTCTTCTAATAACAAATTCTTATCTTAGTTGAGTCTTCTGGGGTAGAATGTTCTAGGTTTAACCATAAAAATTTTACACGCATTTTTAGGAACCAAGGCGGAAACTTTGAAGGTGCTAGAATCTTATCTAGAATGAAA